TCTTTATTTGAAGGTGTATTGGAATCTACGTCCTTGAAGAAGATCTTTGAGAAGGTGTAACAAGCCGTGGAGATAGACGCAAACCGAGTTTGTCGTCAAGTCATTCGTAAGTAGACAAATCAATACATTAGAAGGTTCTGTTGTGATTGATTGTGTAATTCTTACGGTGATTTAGTGGAAGGGCTATTACACGGACGTGGGCCTTGCAGACGTAGGAGAATTTGCTCCGAACTGCGTGAACAATTCTGGTGTCTTGCTTACTGTTTTTATTTCATATTTTGCGTGTGTGCTTGTGACAGAGAAGTGTTATAGCACACTGCCCGTCATCTGTTACTGGACAGTGCTGCAGCATCTCCTCTACAACATAGTTGATTGTTTTGTTTGCATAGCTTGTGTTTGCTGTTATCCGCTCCACCCCCCACGAACTGACAGATTTTAAGCTCACGCCATTTACTCCTTATCCCTTTAGAAACCAACAAAGGGACTCCCTCACTTATTTTCATAATGGGGCCCACCAATTAATCATGTTGCTGGGAGATGTGCATTGAATATTGCGAAGGAGGAAATAAGTTCCCCACTTTTTCCTCATTGGGGTCTACCACCTACAATTGGTGAAATGAATTCGGAGGGAAGACTGAGACACAAGCCGAGCTTGGTACGCTGGTTACAACACCGGTCTTGCTCAGTATTAGAAAAAAAGAGGAAAACTGAGATACAGGCCCGGCCTGGTACGCTGGTTACTACACCGGTCTAGCTCAGTATAATAAAAAAATATATTAAAATATGTGACACAGGCCCGGCCTGGCACGCTGGTAAATATCATTCTTGTGCGCGAGACAGGCCAAGGATGATATACACACCGGTCTTGCACATATTTTCTCGTAAGTCTGGACCCAATCGAATTGGGTACACCGGTGTCTCAGCTGAGCCCTTATCGGGGACGCTCGATTTTTCAGGCCATTTGAACAAGGCACTCCAGAAGTGATCTCTACATGACACGAAGATATTTGTATCAGTTAGCCGGGCTAGCATCCATCTTCAACAAAGCTGCTGCAACGTACTCAATTCTTATTAACTAAAGTCAATGTCGTCGGTATACTAATTTTGTCATGCATCGTTTACTTAGTTCGTACTAACATCGGTCTCGACGAAATAACTACTTGAAGCACCGCCGCTTCATCGTACTAACTCCGGTGTCGTATAACTACTCGAAGCATCGTTGCTTTATCGAACTGACAGCGCTCTTGTTACAATAATTATTCGCGCGAAGTCTAATCACTCTAACTCCAAGCTCCTCGGTAAAAATAATAATTTGAGCACGGCGTAGGCCGGTCAAAAAAAATGTTGTACATATTATTTTTGCAGGAAAACCTTCTGATTCAAGAAATTGGAGAATTAATGAAGACTCGGAGGACTAGCGATAATATCAATCGGTCAAGAATCCAAAGTACGAAGATCGAAGATAGCACTCGGAGGACTTGTTTACTTTTTCAAGTTGATGATTCTCACAACTTAAAAAAGTGGAGGACTTCTTGATGGGAAATAGTACGTGGCTCGGCCCACATTTCCCAATTATTTGCGAAGAACAGTCAAACCGAACCTGTTTAATGAAATGGAGGAATAAGAGAATATTCCCCGAAGATGCTCCTCCCCCTCCTATAAAAGGAGGGGTGCCCCCAATTTGATGGGGAGGCCAAACTCACTCTCTTCCCTGCCCATTATACTTTCTCTCTCTAGAGTTTTATATATTTTCTTCTTAAAGAGCTTGTAGCTCCACCATTAATGGCTTCCGAGCCCGATTCTTGTACCGTGTACACACCCCCGATATTAATAAAAATCCCCCGTTAGCAAGGTACCGCCAAAAAAGGCTCGTGGTTTTCTCCCGATATGGGTTTCCACGTAAAAATCCCCGTGTTTATAGTTTGGTGTATTTTTTAGACTAGTTTATCGTTTTTGCCGGGCTAAAGCGATATACCGGTCGATAATTTACACCATCATTTTACGAAGACTGAAGATTACGCTCGGAGGACTTATTTACTTTTTTAAGTTGATGATTCTCACAACTTAAAAAAGTGGAGGACTTATTGATGGGAAATAATACGTGGCTCGGCTCACATTTCCCAATTATTTTACGAAGAACAGTCAAACCAGGCCTGTTTAATAAAATAGAGGAATAAGAGAATATTCCTCCGAAGATGCTTCCCCTCCCTCCTATAAAAGGAGGAGTGCCCCCAATGTGAAGAGGAAACCAAGTTTTATACACTCCCCTGCCCACTTCTTTTCTCTCTCTAGATTATTGTGCATTTTCATTCTTCAAAGAAGCTTCAAGCTTCCATTAATGGCTTCCGAGCCCAATTCATGTACCGTGTACAACCCCCCGATATTAATAAAAATTCCCCGTTGGCAAGGTACCGCCAAAAAAGGCCCGTGGTTTTCTCCCGATTTGGGTTTCCACGTAAAAATCCTCGTGTTTATACTTTAGATTAGTTTATCGTTTTTGCCGGGCTAAAACGATATACTGGTCGATAATTTACACCATCACTACCTCTGTCCCAGTATCTTCGTCCACTCTCATTTTTTTAAGATCAAATTGGATGAACTTTAGACCTATTAATTAATTATTAAAACTTGTTCACTTTGACGTGAAAAGCCATACAAGGCCAATAAACTAAGGCAAAGAGAGTATAAAATTTTTGCTCTTTTATCTTTAAGCAATTAGTTTTAAAAAATCATTTTTAAATTTTAATTTATCTCGAGTTTTTTTCTCTTTCCTATAAAATCAGAGTTTTCTTCGCCTTTTTCAACAAATTTGTTCTTTTCTCAATTCTTTCAACCCACTAATTTATAAGAATGTGTCTACTAGCATTTTTAACTTGTACAATGCATGAGATATTACTTTTCTCCATTGTAATATAACTAAAGAATTGAAAAGATACTTCTCCCTCCTCCTTAGTTCTTAGAGAATTCTTTTGGTTTTCATTTTTTTTAAAAATCAATTGCACAAATCTTGAATGTCGTATAAATAAAAATTGAATCGTATATCTCTATACAAAATTTCTAAAAGTTTGTTTTATTATGTTTACATGTTTTCCATTTTTAATGTACTTAATGATTAAAATGTAAGTTCGTGGGGGCGCAGCGGATAACACCAATTCAAACACAAGCTCTGCAAACAAATCAACCAGCTATGCTACAGATAACATTGTGCAGCACTGTCACAAGCACACACAGAAGCAGATGACGCAGAGGGTGTTACAGCACTTTTTGGGCAGAAAGCTGTAACTGTAAAAAGCAAGCGTAAAAAAATAACACCAGATATGTTTACTCAGTTCGGAGCAAATTCTCCTACGTTTGCAAGGCCCACGTCCGTGTAATAGCCCTCTACTAAATCACTAGATGCAAGTTACACCGGTACATAACAACATGATGAGACACACTTCTTCGAATTGTTATGACAAAACTTCTAATCTAGGATTTCTAACCCGAACTCTGTTCAGATCCGCTTCGGCTATCACATCTCCACCGAGATCACGAAGACAATCGTGTTGGCAGCCCTCTCCTTAAGCTCTGGTTCATCTTCTGGTTGTCACGATCTGTTTGGCATTGAAGATCTCCTCTTTCATGTAGATCGTAACCTTCTTCACGCAAGGGAAGCTCCGGGACGCGACGGGAACGCTCTACATCAGCGTATATTCTGTATTTTCCCTATCAATCGCTCCCAGTAATTCTCAGGGACCTGCTGCGTATTTATAAGCTTCTCTTGACACAATCCTAGCTAGTAGGAATAGGATAGTAGAAGTTGGCTTGAACTCTACTTCCTTAATCTTGATCCACAAGTAGCCTAAAGAGTTGGGATTCCTTCACAAGTACAGCTGGAGTTCTTATCATGTAATCACAATCCCAATAGGTCTCTAATTCAGATTGCAGCTTAAAATCCCGTGCTCAGACCTCTAATCCCGAACAGTGTGTTGCAGCATCGTGCTGTAACATCTTCTGCGTCAACCTCGAAAACTGCAGCAGCTCTAGAAGTCTAAATAACATAAACCTCTCCTAACAAATAGAGGTTTCTACCTAGTAAAACATCTAACAAATATGGGATTCTATTTTGCCAAAAGATTAGCCAACACCATGGAACTAACATAAAATTCATCTACTTTGATTCAACAAATTAAAGCCAATCACAAAAAAAAGAAAATTATTTTGGGAACGTGAGAGCATTATCAATGAGTAAAACCATATTACTCCGTAAAATGTTGATGTCTTCTGCGGATGCTGTTTTTTGAAAGAAATACCATAAAGGGAAGGGCATGTGGATGCATCACACATCACAGCGTATCAATTATCAAAATAGTCTAGATATAGCCCATAACTTTGGTTATGTGAGTAGGGTTGCATTATATAACCTTGTTTAGTTCATGTCATTTCATAACCTCGGTAATGTTTTATTAGTTCATTACCTCCATGTAAGAAAATAAGGTTAGGTAGGATGTTATCTTATTATTGAGTCGAACCCAGGTTTTTATCAGATCATGAGGTCATGAAACTAATGTGCTTTTACCATATAATCAGATTTGCATATGATATAAATATTGCTCAATAACGACCCATGTGATCTATTGTATATGTGGAGTGCTGGTTGATTAATTGACCTCTATCAAGTTAACTTTTAACATGGCTTCATTTGCACAAGTTATCTATATCAGAGAAAACAGTGGCCTGTTGCACAATGGAAATTCTACATGGCATTTTCCTTATTTCGTGGAGCATCAGTATATGCGGGTGTTCATAACAGATGGCTCATGGTAACATTATTTTTCAAGTCTTATTATACTTCCTATTCTTTGGCCTAGAGATTTTGGAAACGTAGTTTTAATTTGTATTTATGGGGATTATGCGAAGATGGTGTGTTTTTTTTGAAATGATAGAAAGTAAGAACCATGGGTAAGCACATCATTAATAATGACATGGATAGGGTTTGAAACTTTTGCAAATTCATGATCCATCAAGCATAGCCTGTTTATAATATTTTCTAGCTTCTACACCACAATAAACCCTAACCCCCACCTCCTCGCCCCTAATCGCACCCCCTCATTTATTTGACATTTTGGTCAAAATTCTTTGACCAGAATGTCAACCAAATTTGGGTGGAGGAATTTGGCGGGGTGGGGTGGGCGGTTTATAGGCGGGGAACCACTTTGGGGTCCGACGGAGCATCATAGGACCTCAAAGACATTGAAATCCAATGTAATTTGAACCGTGTTGAACTAAAACACGAGTATCTCATTATGTTGGATCTAATGTAAGAATCTTGTTTTACAAACATGATGAGAATCATTCTTCCCAAACCCTATATTCGTTGACGAGAATCTATATTTGAAATATAAATTGTAGGGTATTGCTTCTGGAGGTGAACGTGCCAAATTGGCCGGAGAGATGGCTAATTCTCTTATTAAAATTGCATGGTCATATATTAGAAGAGAAGATGTTCTACCACCACAACCCCCACTTGGTAAATAAGATTTTTTATCATTATATTTTCTCAATAAATTCTGTATTGTGGTGTGTTCTAAAGCTTAATACAAGTTTTGCATGACCAAGTACCACTAAACTATGTTGCACCAAACAAGTGCCGATTCCCGTCCCAAAAACATCCTTGTTTGGGTTCGTGGGGATGTGTTACGCATGGAAAACGTGGGGCACAAGGAGGCTTCTGGCTGGCAGTGTTAGAATCCTAATATGTCTTAGTTTACTTATTGATTTTACTTGCTTGTTGCAGTAGGATTGTAGTCTTTAGCAGAGTCCTTTTCCTAGTAGGCTTTGGGAAGCTTCTCCCCTATATTAAGGGGAGACCTTTGTAATATCGAACAGAGAACACAGAACATATTTTCCTTCCGAATTGTTGCTGCTATTCTGCCGTTTCACATGGTATCAGAGCAACGATCATCATGACCGAAAATCCAAAGCCAAAACACGAAACACCGTCCAAAAACACGGACAACGGCGATGAGACGAAGAAGCCTAGTCCGTATGATCTAAAATCTGTGGACACTCCAGGATTGCTGATTACTCAAGTTAAACTCACTGGCAGAAACTACGAAGAATGGGCGAGAGCAATGATGATAGCTGTTGGGAAAAATAAAGATTTTGATGATGATGTATTTAGAATGTATTAGGGACTTTAGGTCTCCCCCAATATTCAATGTAATTTTTCTTTTTAGAAATATTGTCAAAACCGAGCTCTTGAGATTTCCAATAAAACTGTGATATTTCTTTAAGCGTTTTGGTGCCTGAAGACTTAATGAAATTCAGTGATATGGAAATTGGATATCTTGATCGGAAATGTCAGAGACAAGTAAGGATTTCCCAATCAGATGAAAATCCTCAGACCCGGAAGACTACGTAAGAACCGGATGTCTCGCTACAACCCGCTGAAGGCTAAGTCATCCAAATCGGAAGACTAGCGCGGATCTCTTTCTCACCCGGAAGTCTGAAAAATGACTCCTCCGGATTTGTCAGCTAAGAATCGGAAGACTCATTGAAGACCGGAATTCTCAGAAAGCGGACAAGTGAGAAAAGACTTAGAAAAATTATCT